ACGTAATTTCAGATCAGATGTTTTGCATTTTAAATTCTGTGTTTCAGAGAGAGGAGGATATTGCAAGAAATAAAGCCATAAAGGAGAAGAAGAAGAAAGCGAAAGAAGAGCAGTTAAAAGACACAACAAAGCTGGATGTAGAGCAAGAAGAAGAAAAAGAGGAGAAGGAAGAATTACCTCCTATCTATATCCCTGATCCACCAAGTCCTCTCTGCTGCGGCTTCTATTCACAGCCTGGACACTTCTGGCTCTCCATGGTATGCATACAAACACAAACACACACACCCATAATGTGTCTGTTTCTTACAGTCATACAGGAATATGATACCAAGTTCCTTCACCCACAAAAGTAGAAAATAAACTAGACTACAACCTGCGTTTGCTGTCAGTGAGTAAAAACATGTAAAATCCACAGTTAAAAGGGTGAGGTACCAAATCTGTCCAAAAAACAAACCATTGTGCAATATCAGATATAGTCCAAAAAACAAGAAGACTAGAAAACTCATCTCCACTTTCAAATATATTGTACACTCCGAGAGTCTTTAGTGTAATTGAATGAAATGGCCACACATTACAGTCACATTCATCAGCAAGCATCAGTCTAACTTTCTGCATCAGAAAGTTGCAACAAATGAAAAGCACTAAACTGAACGAGATGATGGGTCAATTCTACAACAGAGCTGAGCAGGTAATCGCATTTTGAATAACTTAATCAACAATGAGCAAAACAGGTTTATATTGATTTTATTACAATGCTGGCTCTGGCTAAAACCCTGCCTTGTCTAGAGATTCTGTTTAATCCTATGCAGGTATCTAAATATCAGTTACCAGCCATGCAGTTTTATAGAAAGGAGTTAATGATATCTGTTTAGCTCTGGAAGTTGATGAGATATAGGTAAATATCCTGAAGTGTGATTTGTTCTTCACGACTAACTGTTTTCTGTCTCTCTGAACCCTGTAGGGAGGCTTTGACTCAGGCTTCTTATATCACTGTAAGTTCTCTGAGAATCAAGACGAGGATCCTGAGCAGCGGCAGGATGAACCATTCAGCTTTCTGCCTGTACATAACGCAGAGGATGACCCCATCTGTTCCATCACCTTCAGGTAGCCTGAGGACAGACTAGCTTTTCTAAACTTTTGTGCAGCTGTTTACACTTTACATGTTTTGAATGAAAAGGGTGGTGATTGAAGTGCAATTCCTGGTGCGTTGTAGCTCCAACAGACAGCTGCTTCTCTGCGGCATGAACTCGGGCTCCATCAGGATTTATCCCCTGCAGCCTGGTGATCACAGCCTCACGTCCATGCAGGCTTACTGGACTCTCAGCATCCACGACAACCAGTATGGACACCTGCGACACATCTGCTGTAGCCACGACGACCTGTATGTGCTGACAGCGGGAGATGACGGGAACATCTTCTCCTTCAGCCTGCTTCCTCCAGAGGAGATGCAGCAAAGCCTGCAGAGAAAGAGAGCCAAGATTCCTTCACCCAAGGTCGGTCACATTTTGATGGCTTATTGTCTTTAAACCAGTTATATAATAATCAGCTTGAGTTTGTAAGGGACTAAAATTGAGCTAGTTCATAAGTCTAACTCTAAAGGGGCACTTTATAGGCCTAAATGCTGAACTTGTGGTCACGTGTTCCCAAGTAAAACAGTTCAGTGGAAGACAGACAACCCCGTTTAATAAAATTGTTTTATATATGTGAGTTTGTATCAATATCATCTTTTTCGCATGATTTAGATAACTCTTGGGAATGAGACTGAGGATATTGAAGATCCAGCAGCCTACAGGTGAGAATAAATAGCAAGTTTAGTTATAATTTCGTATCAATTAATAATTTCTTCCTCTGTATATCTACCATTTTCTCTTTTTGGGACTCTCATAAACTGTATATACAGGTGAAACTCGAAAACTTGAATATCGTGCAAAAGTTCATTTATTTCAGTAGTTCAACTCAAAAGGTAAAACTAATATATGATATAGACTCATGACTTACAGCTTACCCCAAATTCAAAATCTCAGAAAATTTGAATATTGTGAAAAGGTTCAATATTTTAGGCTCAAAGTGTCACACTATAATAAGCTAATTATTCAAAACACCTGCATAAGGTTCCTGAGCCTTTACATGCTCTCTCAGTCTGGTTCATAGGAATCACAATCATGGGGAAGACTGCTGACCTGACAGTTGTGCATAAAACCATCATTGTCAGCCTCCATAAGGAGGGAAAGCCTCAAAAGGTAATTGCAGAAGAAGTTGGATGTGCCCAAAGTGCTGTATCAAAGCACATTAATAGAAAGTTATGTGGAAGGGAAAGGTATGGAAGAAAAAGGGCTAAATGAAAAAAAAAGAACTGGTCTGTTGCTCAGTGGTCGAAGGTCCTCTTTTCTGATGAGAGCAAATGTTGCATCTCATTTGGAAACCAAGTTCCCAGAGTCTGGAGGAAGAATGGAGAGGCACACAATCTAAGATGCTTGAAGTCCAGTGTGAAGTTTCCACAGTCTGTGTTGATTTGGGGAGCCATGTCATGCTGGTGTTGGTCTACTGTGCTTTATTAAGTCCAGAGTCAACGCAGCCATCTACCAGGACATTTTGGAGCACTCCATGCTTCCTTCCGCAGACAAGCTTTATGGAAATGCTGACTTTGTTTTCCAGCAGGACTTGGGACCTGCCAACACTACCAAAAGTACCCAAAACCTGGTTCAATGACCATGGGATTACTGTGCTTGAGTGGCCAGCAAACTCACCTGACCTGAACCCCATAGAGAATTTATGGGGCATTGCCAAGAGAAAGATGAGTGACACGAGACCAAAACAATGCAGAAGAGCTGAAGGCCGCTATTGAAGCAATTATAAAAAATAAAGGCTTCAAATATCTTGCTTTTCATGTAATGAGTCTATATCATATATTAGTTTGACCTTTTAAGTTGAATCAGTGAAATAAATTAACTTTTGCATAATATTCAAATTTAGTTTCACCTGTATATGATGAACATAGCTCACCCGATCTGAAACATGAAGATACCTTAACCCTGCATTATTTCTAATGGCCAGTAGAAGGAGACTCCTGTTTCACAAAGACATAGAAAGAAAATAACCTTACAACCATCACATCTGTGACCTAAGTAAACATTTTCCTGATGAGTTAATGGTCTCAGTCACTACTTTTAAGTCTTATTAATGCATTATGTTTATTTTGGACATCAGAGTTACACATACTTTACAGCGTTGACAAGAAGGCAGAATATGAGCGTGCAGGGTTCCTCGGTTTCATAGCTCATGACATCATGTTATAAACTGCCAAAGTGGGGGTGGTGAAAGCTTGACTCTTCACAATGAAACTTTACTGTAGCTCATGAAAAATATCAAGTTTTCTCTCTTCTAACTTTCTAATGTCCCCTTGTTCCAGCTTAGAGATGGCTAAGCAAAAGCTGCAAAATGACCAACTGCAAAAGGAGGCTGAGCTAAAGGTTTCTGAAAAGCAGAAGAACCTGAGTGAACTCCAGAAGAAATTTAAGAAAGTGCTGAATGACAACCAGAATCTGTCGGAGCACATTCGCTTGAAACCAGAGGTACAAATGCAAATCTGGGATGTGTATGTGTGCACTATCCCTGAGTTGGGAAATTCAGCTGCCTTGCCACTGAAACTGAGATTCAATGAGATCTGAAAAATAATCTGATCTGGAATGTTTTACTAAGGGATAGACACAGTAAATTGTTGTTAGATGTATGTGTTGGTGTGTGTCTGTAGGAGCTGCAGCTGGACCAGCGATGTTACAAACAGGCAGAGAGGCTAAAAGCCCAGCGCGTGATGGAGGTCAGGAAGCAGCTAGCCTGGGAGCAGGAGCGCTGCAGCATAGCACTCAAAAAACTACAGGACTGGTACATGCAAGTTTTTATTATACAACTATTTATATTATTCACAAATCAAAAAAATAGTAATTTGTCTTAAAAAGAGCCTTTTTGGTGTGAAACAAACTGTTAGCTCCTCTCCTTCTAAGGTTAGCCTCCCTTTCAGCCAGCTTTGTTCTGATTCTGACTGCCTGCCCCTCAAACAGAAAGCTTGAACAGTTGGTGGGACAAAGCTGTGTTCCTGACCTGACCACTGACCTGCACAGACTTCATTACTTGAAACTTTGGCCAAGTGAAATATGAGCATGTATCTTTAGAATAGTGTATGTAGCCAACTGACAAACACCTATGCTTGATGTCAGGTTCAGGAACTCTCTTGGTGGAAAAATAGTCATTGTGGTTGCCACCCAGACCAGCCACAGAGTCTCCACTTACCATTTACCGGAGCCTGCCGAGCTTTCAGCTCAGGTCAGGCATCGGAGAACAACCAGAGAGCCTGTTGGACACAGAGATGCTGCACTAGATTGTAGGAAAGTCAGAGCAGAGACTGCAAAAGGCAGCACCAAAATTGACGGTAAGAAAGTGATTGTGTCTTTGTTTTACACATCAAAGATATATCTTGACCTGCATTGTCACCTGTGTGCATCCAGAGGAGGAGGTGTTATGCCATCCAGTGATTCGTACAGCAAAGATCAAGCTGGGAGATCGTCAGGAAGAGAGACTTCGAAAGGCTGCAGAGAAAGCTGAGCAAGCTCGAGCCAAAATAGAAAAGAAGAAGCAGGAATGGGCACAAATGTGAGTGACTCTGCAGTGTCAGGTTAACCCACTAAGGAGTAGCTGGGGCTTAAATGATTACTATGACGCTGGTTCAAAAATGTGTTCGGATTTTTGGTGTCTCAGTTACGCAGAGAAACCAAGTGAGGACTATGAAGATCCGAAGGACGTGGAAGCCATCCGTGAAGCCAAAGAGAACATCGGGGACTACATCGGGGTGAAACACCGGCGGGTGAACGCGGAGATGAAGAGAGAAGAACTGATTTCCTTGGAGGAAAATGTACAAACTCACACTAATACCCAGATGTTCACATCTGCTTTAAATATACTTTGTGCTATCTATTTCACACCTACGTGCAGGCATATAATTATGGTCCTTAAATGTCATTATTAAATTATCTGGATAATCTAATGACTCACTCCATCATCACTAGATGCATGAAAAGCAGAGTGAGGTGAACAGACGGATCGTGGCATTGCGGGACTCCAAACTTCGTCTGGTGTCTTGGTTGCGTGCTCGGGCTCAGCGGCTGCAGAAGGTCCAGCAGCGCCTGGCGGTTCATCTCCGCCGGCCTCCACCCATCCTGCCCAACATGTTAACAGAGGAAGTGCCAGAGGAGAAGCTGCGGTACAGCCACTCCACCTTGGAGCGATACCGGTCACTGAGGGAGCAGAGGTACAGAGGATGGCTGTTCTTTGAAAACCAAAAATTTAAATGGTTTCAGTTGGTTTGCTTGACATTGTTGCAACAATGACATGAAAAACATTAGAAAACAAAAACTGTCGATTTGTTTTGTTTTGTTTTTAAAAAGGTTTAGAGATTTGGAGCAGGAGGGAGCAGCAAGTTTGTTGGAGCAGCTGGAGAAAGAAATGGAGGCGGATAAAAAGGAAGAAGAGCAGAGGAGAGATGTAGAAGAAACTCCCAGATTGTCTGTTTCATCTGTAACCAGAGAAGAAGAGGAGACACCAGTGGACGAAGGATCAGAACTGAGCGAGCTGGAGGAGGAGCTTCAGAAGGAGGAGGAGATCAGACTGCTGTATGAGCAGAACACTCTGCTGGAGGAGGTCATTGACATTAATTTGATTTTTAACTGAATAAAAGGCCAACTAGTTGGAATGTCTTCTCGATAATAACTGATGTGGGGATGGATTTTATCCTCAGATGGAGACTGCGGTTTGTCAGTTTGACGCGGAGCTGCTGCTGCTGTGTCAACAGAAGCTGCATCTGGACTGGCGGCTGAAGCTGGCTGACCTCCGCCTGGTGACGCTCTTTCAGGAGATGCTGCTCCTCAAACAATTTCAGAGGAGAGAGGGAGGCTTACATGGGAAGCTCAACACCTGCATTACGGAGGAGAACAGCATCACAGTAGGTGGATTGAATTAGCCTGGAGTTGGTGTTTTTATTTAATAATACGCTTTAGTAATCGGCTTAAAAGGATATAGCAGCGTTCTTATGTTTTAGCTCACCTTTGCACATCCACATGCATCGTTATTTTGAATGGACAGTTTAGGGATAAAACAGAGTGGCTCATTTGGCGACGAGCAGGGGAGAGATGTTGGGCTTATTGAAAGGTAGATGTTAAAGATGGAGAAAGAGAAAGAGGAGGTTTTTAGTGTCAGAGGGCATGCAGGTGACTGTCATAACAGGAAGACGTGGAAGCAAGTGGTTTGTTTGTTTAGGGTCGGCACAATTGTCAGCTTTTAGAAAGCTTGTCACTTGCATTCATCAGTAGTTGTTGTACTCTTGGTGCTTCTGGTGGCTTCATACATTGCTATTTTACAGTGACATTCCTTATTTTTTTTCTCTGTTCAAATTTTTTTCTGCTGCTAAATGTGCTTTAAAATAACACTGACTTACTTTAAATTGATAAAAAGACTTGAAAACAGACCTGAAGCATGAAGATTTTATTAAACAGGAAATATTTCTTGCCATGCAGTCATGCAAGTCTGCACTGGCTCAGATTTGTGACTCAAATTCGCAATTCATTTTTTCACACATAACTACAATAACTGTGTAGTGTTTGCTGCCAAACACTGATGGCCTGGAAATCATTGTTTGCCAAAAAACTGTGTAAGCACAACACTGGGCCTGCAGTTATTGTAGTCCTCACACTTCCTTCCTCTGATCACTCACAGTCAAAGCTGGGAGAGTGCAATGAACAGCTGGAGATGAAGAGGAGAGACATAGCCAAGCTGCAGGAGAGGGAGAAGGCTCTGACCGCTGCCTTCCAGGCTTCGCTCGGGGAAAACAATAAGTATGAAGAGTTTCTGACCAAAGTCTTCAAGAAGAAGATCAAACATGTGAAGAAGAAGGAGCAGACGGGAAATGAAGGTGAGGGAAAGTAACACAGTGTGTGTAACGATGTGTGCATCAGTACTTTATGATCACAGTGTGTGTTTGTAGAAGAAGAGGACAGTGAGGGAGACTCTGAAGAAGACGATGACTGGGATGATGATTATGACAGTGAAGAAGGAGGAGCTGCTGTGAATGACAGTATTTGCCCTGAAGGTCAGTAAAGTGGTGAAAAACATTCACCTCCTTTAATTTTTTAACAGTGAAAACTTTTCTGTTGTTCCAGCAGGAGCACAGAAACGTTTCAGTACTTTGAAACGCACCATTAAAGACATATTTCAGGTCATTTCATTTTTTTGCCTGAAAATAGGTCTCTTGAATTTGACTTTAAGCATAAGTCTGTGTTTGTGTGTCTCAGGCTGTGAACCTGAGCTGTTTGAGAACACACTGCAGCTGCGTGAACGTCGACTGGACCTGGAGGAACTGTTAACAGAGGAGAAAAAGAGCGCTGAAGCTCTGAAGAAGGAGAACGACAACCTCGCAAAAAAGGTCAAACTCATCGGTTTTCATCACTGTTGGGCTTTCTGTACCTTCCTCTTGTTATCACTCGTGTGTTTTGCACTCATGTTATTGTGCTTGTGTTTTTGCGTGGATTTGATCTGCTCTGCAGGAGAAATCGGTGAAGAGCAGCCGGGCTGCACTAGAAGACGACTTGGATTTAATCAACAGGGAGAAACTGCAGAAAATCAGTGAACTGGATGTTGTGGTTCCTCTGAGATTGCACCAGGTAAATGGGATGTCATGCTGGATATTCTCTGGTGACAAAACTGCTTCAAGCAAGTCATAACAACACATAACAGATGGTTAATAGTGCACTTAGTACAACCAGCTCAGTCTCTACAAAAACAATTGATTAGTCCATTTCACCAAATATCCAAGCTTTTACAAAATCTATACAAATCCTGCCTTTTTTTTTAATATTTAAAAAATTAAATGTATGTTAATTAAAAATACACTTTAGAAATTATAAATTTTAAAAGAATATTGCAGAAAATAAAAGGTTTTTCTCAGAATGGGCATTTGGACCGTGGCGATCACACAATATCCACAAAATTTAATAGCCATTAAAAAACGATTCTGTGTACATGGGTTTTTTTTGTCCTCGTAGAGTTATTGAGTTGCACAGATGTTTAAGTCTTTAAATAAAGTGAATAAAACAAAAATTCAAATGAAGAAACAAAGTAGAAGAACACTCTTTTGCATGCGTGATTTTATTGATCTTTATTGATCCACAGCCAAACAGGATTAAAACAAAACATTTTCTTGGATTTTACAGATTTTTATTATGAATATTCACCATAATAGACTTCCATGCAATACTTTGTGATGTTTTATTTAAAAGAAATGGTTACAGTGCAGTTTAGTGTATATTACAGAAGTTCTTAAACTTTTTCTTTTTGTTTTCTCCTTCCTTCCACTTTCACCCTGTGTCTTCCAGATTGAGTATGTTGTTAATGGCTCAGTGCCGTCAGATCTGAGCGAGGCGTTGGTGCTGGACAAGAGTGAGCTGGACAGGCTGAAGGGGCGCATCCAGCAGCTGCAGGGGGAAAAGCTCCATCAGAAAGATCTGCACCGTCAAGCTCGCCAGCAGCACACCAAGCTCATCCACGACCACAGAAACATGGCTGCCACGATCCAGAGTAAGAGTCTCTGACATGGAAGAGCTGAAGTGTAAAGATATACGAGAAGTTCACAGGTCACATGTAGACATTAGCTTTAAAAGAAAACACACATGCAGATGAAAACAAATACAGATTTGTGTTGCAGGATTTGCCACATGGCTTCAAGAAAACATTCCTGTGACTTTCTTCATGCGTAGATTTGATCATGTGTTTGTTGATCTGTGCTGTTGGGTGCCTGCTTGTATCTTGGTGCAGCACTGGAGCAGCAATGCAACGAGTTGATGAGAACAAAGTTTGGGAGGCTCGTGGATTTGGAAGCTTTGCAGATGCTGTCGGGGAACAGGAGGCTGGAGGAGCTGAAGCAGGAAAAACTCCTCAAAGAAGCTGCATACGCCAAGGAGATCAGACAGTGGGATGTATGCTTGTCTGTGTGTGTGCGAGATGTCTACATCTGTGCTGTTTTGATCATTTGCAAAGTGAACATTTTAAAACCACTTCGGGTTAAGTTTTTTTTAATCTTCTACTTGGGGTGTGTGTGTGTTCAGGCTAAGGTAGAAGAGGCACGTCAAGCTGTGATGGAGGTGACCACGTGTAATACGGAGCATCTCCGCAGTGCAACGAGTCTGAATGAACAGAAGAAGGAGCTACAGCTTATACTCAGCACCAGCCAAAAGAAAATGGTGAACAATGTGCAAGGCTGATGAGCCTGGGATCCACGGTGTCACACACACATATATAAATAAATAATGCAGTCACCTGGTGTACAGTTTATTTTAATAGTGTTGTTTAACATAAATACTTTTAATATGTTAATATTTCCTTTTTGTTCTGGATAAAAAGCGAATCCTGCTATAATTATGCACTTCTGCTTTTCTCATTCAGATCCAGAGACTTGTACAAAATATACAAAATATTTGTTGCTATCATGTGTTACTCTGCCCATATACTCTATAATCTATATATGTGTGAATGTATCCAGGGCAGACAACAGTTCCAGGACTACAGGAGACGCACAGACCAGGAGGCTATCCAGAATCTCCAAGACCTGGTGATAAAACAGTCGCAGCAAGCTGAAGCCCTCAGGAGAGAGATCCACCTCCTGTCGTGCAAAGGGGGTCACATGTTGCCCCCTGATCAGACCAGACTGCCACCACTTTCCCCCTTGCGCACCCCCATAGGCAGCATCAACACTGGAAAATAAAGAATGTCCACATAGCGCAGCTGAACAGAGTACGAAATATACATGCACCCATTTATATCATGAACACTTTGCACACCAATAAGGCTTAATAATCATGGACTGTTGCTTTTCAGTGACCCTCATCACCTTTTCTCTTCTGCTCTTCTGCTATTAACACACCTAAAGAAACATTAAATGAATAAGCACCCAGCACAGGGACACTTATTTAATGAGATATGATTAGAAACATAAATGAAGTTATGAAATATGTAGTATTTCTGTATTTTGACCCCACAAATTACAACACTACAACCAGATGAATAGAATCAACTTTTTGGGACTTCCTTACCTGCATGTTTGAGCATGCATCAAAACTTCCCACAAATTACTGTACTTAGTCAAAGAAATGATCATAGAAGCATAACAAACATCATCATGATTAGTGTAGCTTCTATCCACTCACACCAGCTGTTAAATAACTCCAGTCTATTTGAGGTCAGACAGCTTAGCAGTGGATCCCATATCTAGTCCGAGTCCGGCACAGAGGGGCTGAGTGAATGTGGTCTGGACTCTGTGGAGGAGAGTCATGGTGCCAGAGACGCTGTAGAAGGACAGAATGCCTGCTCTGTGATCCAGGTACACTCCTACTCTGGACGGCCAGCAGACTGAAATGGGAGTTTTTCTTTTGTTATGTTTGAAAAAGCATCTTTGGTTGACACATTGCAAAGCCCAGGATTTGTCATTGTGTCCGAATTCACTTTCTTCTTGCTGCTTCCTGCTGATATCCCGGTATGTGACTGCCACTGTAACCCCTCCTCCACTCCACTCCACCTCCCAGTAACAACGTCCAGTCAGAGTCTCTCTGCTCAGCACCTGAAACCTGTTAGTGAAAGCATGTGATTCTGGTTTGTTGGCATATAAATCCACTGCCAGTTGCACTGCCGCTAGCAAAGTGGGCATTCCTGTTGCTTTCCTGTTCCCTTCGGACAATATCAATAATGAGTTTGCCGTGCTCTGATCCAGTGTGAGCTGACAGGAATACTGTAAGAATGTAGCTCTTGTTTTGGGATCTGGTTGTGGCAGTAAAACATCCACTTCACGCACTGTCTGTGAGATGTTGGTATAAACATCACTAAAAATTTCCTGCATTTTATCCCTGGCTTTTGCCACAGCTGCTGTCACATCCTTAAAGTAGCGCAGAGGACGGATGTTGATGCTCGGTGAATCTGTCCATTCGTTGATGTGTGACAGTGAGGTGTAAGTGCAGAGAAACTGTGTGGGGTCCTCTGTGTGGAAAAGCTGCTCCAGCTCAGTGTTTCTCCTCCTCAGCTCAGAGATCTCCTGCTGCAGCTTCTCCTGAAGCTCTTTAACCCGACTGACCTCAGTTTTTTGCTGAAGTCTGATCTGCTGGGTCACATCAGAGCTTCTTTTCTCAATCGTTTTAATCAGTTCAGTGAAAATCTTCTCGCTGCACCTCACAGCTTTATCAGCAGAGTGATTAATGGCCTCCACCTCCTGCTGAAACACTCTCTTGGCTTCCTCTCTCTCCTGGATTCTCTGCTGGAGTTTTTCATGACTTGCCCCAAGTGCTTTCTGCCTCTCTTTCCTTTCTGCTTCAGCGGAGACAGTGCAGTGACCTTTATGCTCATCCATGGAGCACAGATAACAAATGCACTGTTGATCAGTGCGGCAGAATATCTTCATCACCTCATTGTGGCGAGGGCAGATAATCCTCATCTGGGAGGGGTCCACCAGCTTGTGTTTTTTAAAGGCAGGAGATTCATAGTGAGGCTGGAGGTGCTGCTCACAGTAAGAGACCAGACACTGCAGACACGACTTGACAGCTTTCATTTTTTCCCCAATGCAAAAATCACAGGTCACATCTTCAGATCCAGCATCGCAGTGATCAGCAGGAGGAGCTTGGAGTCCACTTTTCTTCAGCTCCTCCACTAACTCTGCCAACATGGTGTTTTTCACCAGAGCAGGTCTTGGTATGAAGGTCTGTCTGCACTGAGGGCAGCAGGGGATTTTCCTTAGATCACCTCTATCCCAGAAGCATTTGATGCAGTTCATGCAGTAGTTGTGTCCGCAGGGAATAGTCACAGGATCTTTCAGTAGATCCAAACAGATCGAACAGCAGAGTTTGTCCTGGTCGAGCTGAATTCCTTGCTGCGCCATTTTACCTCAGAGAGAGTGAGTGTGTGAGAGTTTCACTTCCTGCCACCCGATCCAAACTAAAACTCAGTTCCTTTTTCTTGCTTTGCTATCTTGTCAGTTATGGTATGTTAATTACATACATCTGCACTCTGGCATATATTTGGAAGGATCAGAAAACAGGAAGTTATGTTGATCAAAGGGCAAACAGGAAGAAGGAGGAGGGTGTTTTATGGTTCAGATAATTCCAGGAAGAGGAGTGGTTTCACAAAACAGGGGGTGTTTTTATGTCCTGAGTGTTAGAAATAGAAAAGAGATCAATGATTACAAGAATGGGAAAGTGCTCTGGTGCTCTTAACACATTTTGCACACATGCCAGGTCTGGTGAAAAATTTTGTATTTTAATGGTTTCACATATGAGCACTAGGAAATGGCTCTAGAGCGCCACCTATGCCTTGTTAAATGCAGCCCTACGAACACATCATTTGAGCTACATGTATGAAATCTGGCACACATGTGTATCATGCCAAGACGAACAAAAAAGTCAGTGGGACCATTGGCGCAAACCCAACAGGAAGTCCGCAATTTAGAAGTGAAGGTGACATTTTGGCTCTAATTTTGCCATTTCCATGCCTCGAACTTTTTCGAACTCCTCCTTGGGATTTGGTCATATAAGCTTCATCTTTGGTCAGTGTCAACTACACACCTGGGCCATGTTAAATTGTGGAGCTTTTGAGTTTTCGGGATACGGTGAGGCTGTGGCGCCACGGCGAATTTCGATGA